TCTAAAGAACTGATATAAATAGTATAATGGGGGAAGAGCACAGTACACTTTCAGCAGATTTTTATACTGTACTTCAATCAGAAGTACAGTATAAAAATCTCAGAAAGCAATTTACGTTTTATGCTACGTTTCAGAATATCAATGGTGTTGTCGCGCAAAATTTACAAATTAATTCGACCTGTTCGTGATGGCACCTTCTTTCCATGTGTTGACGAATCGGGAATATACCTTTAATTTGGAATATATCATGAACCGCTATCTCAGATTAAAGTATTTTTTTGCTATAAATCTGACGACATAGTGATCGTTGCTATAATTATGGACAGCAGTATCAAAACTTGCATGTGTAAGTAGCCCACGTCTCGACAATCATGAATTTTTCATAATAGTACAAAAAGACAAGTATAAATAGGTTATAATTTATCATATAGGAATGATTGATTCTGTCACACAAGCATTCAACAAATTGTACTTTTTGTAGAAATCACTTTTTCTTCTTTGCCTCCAGTCTTTTCTCTGTTATTCAATGATGTACCATTTTGTCAATAATCTCCGTCTGTGTGTTCCTGAGATTTCTTTTTTACTTCTTTTATTTCCATTAAATTTATTTAATATGCACTAGTCAACGCCTTGCGCTTGAAAAAAGCTTTCAAAATAGATTTGCTAACGTTCTAAATCCTTTCGTGAATAACAAAACCTCATGAAGCGAAATATTAGTTTGTCACTTCCATCATTCAATTTATTGTTTCACAATTTATTGTTTCACTCGTGGCAGTGTGCATCAAAATCGCCAAAGAGACGGAAATCAGCAAAGTTTTGGGTCTGGAAAGTGGTATAAATTGTGTGTATTCAATGTAGTTATCTGTTTCGTTAATGTCCATACTAGGTGTCCAATAGTTAATCAAAAAGAAAGCGCTCTTACCAACTCGTCTCTAGATCAACATCTTCCTGCTACAGAGTAATACTCAACATCAAGTGTCTTGACAAGATATCGAATGCCACTGTCTACAAAAAGACCGGACAAGAATCTCTGATGCAACGACGCCAATTGCGATACATCGGTCATTACCGTCGAAGAGATGCGAGGGAATTTATCAACATGTACGCTCTCTACTCACCGAAACCGAGTCATGGCAAGCGCAAGCGGGGTAGCTTCCGATTACATTGCGAGGCTAATTAACAAAGATACACCAGCATCGGTCGACGAGATTAGAAAGGCTGCCGAGAACAGAGAGAATTAGTCCAAGATTGTTGTCGCCTGCAAACCTCGATAGTTCGCAGTCGAACGATGATGATGAAAGCTCTGCCGATTTTCGGTATCAAAGTCTCAAACAACATAATTTCAAACCGTTTACTGTCGAGATATTTGAGTTGTTTTACAATTAGATGATCTTGATAATACAGTGGTAAACTAATTAGGAGAAAGTTCAATGCGATGTTCAACACATTTCTATAATTAACTCTGAGAACATGTTTTTTCTTAATTATTTCTTCAAATTTTCTTAAATGATGTTACTTTACTCTGGTAAATTATCGAATTTCAATTATTTAATCATGCGTTTAGGTAGTATCCGTCCTGCCCTGAGCTTGTTCAGATTTTGAAAAAAGCTTCCTCGACATACAGTGTGTAAAGATTATTTGATGCTTAGGACAAGAATCTGACATTTTTCATTGTGGCCTGTATGTTGGTAAAAAAATTTTCTCATAGCTATTGTCTGAGAGCTAAAAACACGGTTTTATTTCCTTGTAATGAAATAAAACCGCTGTTTATAGCGGTTTTTAGGGCTTTTACGAAAAATGCTGTAAGTCCAAAAAGAAGCATTATCTGATCAAAAATTTTTGGAAATCTTCCTAAATGTGTTGCCCCTACCACCCACAGGAATATGAATCAAAAGTTCGAGCATCCATTGAGCAGTTTAGGTCGTGCCTACCGTGCAACGGCTCTTACGCAGTAACACTTTTTATCTTATGTTTTCCCATCTCGTTGAAGGGCTAAACCTTGTTCAAAAAATTTCGTTTTTGTACGAGTCGATTGATTTTTGTGTGCAGTGTCCAATGCACTATAGAAGATTGTTGGGAAACGAGTTTAACACTGAGAATCATTAATTTCAAAAATTGCAATCGTGGATACTTCAAAACATTAAACGTTTTTTTAAAAATTGAATTTTTTCCTAAAGTCTCAAAACTGAGTAAGCCGTTTTGTAGAGAATTGAATCTCTATTCAATGGTGTACTTTTAATTTTTTTAAACAGGGTGTATAGGTCAGGAAATTGAAATTAAACTTTTTTAAACTTTAAATTTAAATTTTAATTCAAAACTCTACTTTTTTTCAAAACAAGGATCATATTCGTGATCAGCGTCCAAAACTGCGCCTAGCGATGTGTCTGTACCGAATTTTGGATGGAAAAAATGGAAAAAAAGTAGCGCGTTACGTGGAGAAGCCGCTTATTCTCATAGTGAGTCATTACTCATCGCTCTAAATATGTTCGCATGTTGATGGTTTTTCTCCGCAAATGGTACATTCTTCTTTTTTTTATTCAACTATTGCTGACTGGAATAATCTTCCAGAGTCAGTTATTTGTCATTCTTCTTTATTGTCTTTCAAAAGCGCTTTACTTCAGCATCTTCTAGTGAAACGTTTGTCAGTTATGAATTTATATTTGTTCTTTTTTTTCCTTATTTTTAAAAAATTTGTTTTTTCTTTTTTTCTACTAGAGTGAGTCTTCCTAATTTGAACGGGAAAAACGCATGATGCAGTTTATCCTGTATTTTATAGTGATTGAGTGAGAGCGTAATAGACGTTTTTATACTTTTGAGTAGAGCAAAGTTTCCTGAATCGAATGGTGAAAGAATTTTTAAAATCGGACTTAAATTGAGTGAGTTATGATCGGGAATGTGAGCACTGTTGCGATCGTTCACATTCGGGACCCATTTGAGAATTGAAAGACTTTTAGTATTCGGTAAAAATCTTTTTGTTTTGCTTATATACGTCGTTATTATTTCATACACATCTTTGTGGAGGTCAAAGTCAAAGTTTCTTCGCAGTAGTAGTGTCTGTATATCAACGTCAATATGAAGATCACGTTGCTTTATTTTTTCAAATAGTTTCACTCTAGCTGAACGATAGTTGCGACAACGAAGGAAATAATGTTCCACAGACTCAACTTGCCCACATTGACAAAGGTCAGCTCCCTGGCCAGTTACAATATGTCTTCGAAACAAATCACTTCTTAAGACTGAGAAGTCGACTCTCATTTGTTGAAAAGCAATATCAACAGTTCTATCTATTTCTTTTGCCAGTGGCATCTTTTCCGCAATCTTATGATGTCGAAGAAGTTCATCGTTCAAGTGAGTACACTTACATATTTTCCTAAGCTCTAGCGGAAGCTTGTTCCATAGTCTAATCGTTTGCGGGAAATAGGACGAACAAAAAGCTTCGCTTCTACCAAAAGGCGCCTAGATCAACTGGGTCAAGTAAAATTCAACCGATATATGATATAATTCAAAACGATGAACTACTGCTGTTATTGTTAGCCAAAATTTCAAAAACACCTACTTCTAAGAAACTCCATTAATAGAACAATCTCCTGTCTACGTACTGATCACATTGGAATTTTCTAGATTTCAATGTCGGAGTGATTTAAAACAAATGTGGCCGAAGCGTCCAGCTTCTACAATTTTGGACTTTTCTAACAAAAGCAAAATACAAAAACTATCTGATGATACTAACTCTGTGGAAAATAGCAGCGACATCACAAATGAAACACTAGTGCTTCCAGAACAGTCGGCTATTCATATTTCGACATCTTCTATAGCAATGACATTACTAAAAAATAATTTAGAAACATCGTGGTTAAGGAATTTCGTCAATTTTTGGCTTTCTATGAGGAATATTTTAGAGGACCATCCATCTAGCAGAATAATGCTCATACTGCAAATTAATGGCATTATTTTGCCTTATTTGACTTATCCTGAACATTATAATGAATTATTTATCAGTAATGCATCTAATACATTAAAATGTGTTGATTTCCATGCATTAGCTTTTGTCCTCTTTCTGTTGGCATAAGATACATTTGGTTACATTTACATGTTGGAAAACGCTAGAGAGAGTTATTTTCCAAATCACAATAACTTCTCACCCGTGGCATCGACCAGAGCTCTTACAGACTACAAGAAACAGTCACGCGTTTTTCTGAGCAGTAGAAACTTATATTTATATGAAAAAGTGCAGTTTTGACAGAAAATAAGCCATGTCCACATGCTCTGTATAAGTTGTCCACTGTGCCCCGTCCCGACTTAAGAAGTGCCCGCGGATCACCGCGCTGGCGGGTATTATCTCTGATATCAAACTTGATTGAAATCAGAACCGCATTAAACCGCGGTATTTTGGATAATAACCGCAGTAAAACGCTTCTGTTTTATTGACAACAGTCCGCCCCTCAACCACAATCCCCCTTTTATGAACACCCGGTTAAAACCGACGATTTCCCGGTGCTCAACTCGCGAGAACCGGGCCTATATCCGCATGAACCGGTGTGTTCATGCGAATGTTCAGGATAAGTCAAATAAGGCAAAAAAATGCCATTAATTTGCAGTATGAACATTATTCTGCTAGATGGATGGTCTTCTAAAATACTCCTCATAGAAAGCCAAAAATTGACGAAATTCCTTAACGACGATGTTTTTAAATTATTTTTTAGTAATGTCATTGCTATACAAAAATCGATCTGATATCCTGAAAGTCCGTCAAAAACTGCACAACTTTCGTGTCTAACTTTAATTTATATCTCGTATCGTTTCGTTAAAAAATGCAAAACTGTTCATACGTCTCTAACGACCGGCTTTTTTTCGAAATTCCGTAACGTTCAGTATTTTGCATATAACTTAGCCCCAGCTTGCGAAAAGTGAATGAAATTTTTGTAGGTAATAGATCTTGATGAATTACAACTGTGATAAAATTTTTAGAGTTTTTGCTCTTGTTTTGACGAAAACAGAGTTTAAGGAACACGAAAAAATGAAATTCCGGAATGCCTGTCCGCGCCGTTGTGTGTTTTTATATCATGTTCTCTTAGATTTCTAATATTTACCAACGCTTGCACAAGAGGGTGTTTACTGTCTAATGTGTTTACGATCTTTTCAAACCCGGGACAAACTAATAACGAAAAAGGTGGTAAATATTCAGCTAAAATATTTTCGTCAATTGTGCCAAGCTGATAATCTTTATTTTCGTTCAGAAATTTTGATAAGCTTCTTATAATTCTTGCATTCCTGATGGTTTGTCTGTGTGATTTTGACATAAGTCGCGAATAATAGATAAAGGTTAATCGAAAACCGGATAATTGGCCAATTACATATGGTAAAACTGGATCATTTTTATCTTTTTCTGTCAAATATCCTTTCAAATAAGTATATCCTTTTTTTTCCACAATGCCGTAATCCATTTCCACGAGCTGTGTGTAACCGCAACACACATTGGGATTTACATAATTGAAAAATAAATCTATTAATCTCCAACGCATGATGACATTTCTATACTGGTAGCACCATCCGAAATTTATACCAAAAAATGAATACGCAGCTCTACAAATCATATAAGGTTTCCTGCTAAATACCAAATCATCAAAAGTTCTTTTTTGAGACACTTTCATCATTCCGTGATCAGGTGACCATATTTCTGTTTTGTTTTCGAAAAATTTGTCCAATGATTCTTTCATGTCATCCTTGAATCTTACAATCTCATCATAAATATCTCTGGATTCATCAGGCTTTGCATACTTGTGCAATTCTTTATTCTCAACATAAGTATACCAAAATTTATTAAACTCTTCAGCCATCGGAGAAAACCTGTAATACTTGTTTAAATATTCATTCACAATTCTTTCTGTTTCGGGTGTTTTGACAATATCAAATTGAACATCTATATCTCCGCTTGGCAAAGATAAAATTTTCTGATCATTTTCTTCTAACAAGAACTCATAACTGGCGCTCGCCAAAGAACCTATGACGTAAGGAACGTTTATCCAAGCCCCTATAGGTTTTACGTATGCTTTGCGTACCCATTCATTTTCACCAGGCGAAATATACTCTCTTTCAACCTTTGATATATTTGACCCATCTGGTTGTAATGTGCTTCTTATATAAAAGTGTTTATCATTCAGTTGCGAGTCTTCCAAATGTTTACATTTTAGGTCTATTTTGATCTTACTTAAACCAAATATAATTTCGGGTAACATATACAAACCCTTTAAAACTAATGCTGTACAGTTCGGAGTTAATATTTTATCGCCTAAGATATGTTGACGTTTTGCATCATCACCATGTTGCATTGGATACGGTGCAGTTTTATCGTGTTTTTCTATACTGTTGGGACTTTCTTTCGGCCGCACATAATGAGTGCGCTTATTGGCACATAAGATGCAACTCCAACAGCATTTCTCCGTATATATTCCGACGTTAATCATATTGTTTTCGCGTAGATGTTGTGCGAAATTAGCAGCTTCACACATCACTTCAGTTGTTCTAAATTCTGATACAATTTTGCGCCCCTTATACACTGCATACGTTTCCATTTTATTTTGTGAGTTTGTACGTTTGCAAACCTGGAATATATTTTAGAAGTCTAAAGGACGAAGGCGCATAAGACAAGGAATCGGCTCACTGACCTTTTTCCGATCCAGCGCTTTAGAACAGACATAGAATGATAGAACTCAACGCGGCGAATATTTTGGCGCTATTTTGGTACTAGTTTTGATTTATTTTGATGCCATATCATCGGCGATATCGTTTCTGCTTTGTAAGGTATTTTTATGCTATCCTATAACCGATGACTTCTTAACTAGTGATCTGAATACGGACACTATGTCACCCCGGAAACCTGTTTTTAAATCGATGGGTCGGAAAAAAGTCAGTGGGCCGATTTCTGGTCTTATGTGCCTCCGTTCTTTCATATTTTCTTGATTATGCACAACATCACTCAAACTATTCATGTCGCACAATGTTTTTGCTTCTTTTAAAACTCTGAAGAAGAGTACGTGTAAGTGTGACAGTTAGGTAAATCGATCATAAAATAGATTAACCTATCTGTTGGAGAAAAGACATAAGCGATTGAGGATCAAGATGTGAGTCAAGCAAAGTCTACATGCTCATGAGCCTAACCTTCACAACCGTCATCCAAAGAAACAGTTTAATAAATCTTTTTTTTTATCTTGAGAAATGTTAAACTATGTAGATCGTTTAACTCTTTATGACCGGCTGGCTTTCTGAGCGAATATTGTGAAAGTTCATTTTAAAAACATGTAAGAAATCTCAAGTACAAAAACGAACAGTTTTCCAGATTAGAATAATGTGATACTCCTATTGACTAACAAACAAAACATTTTTTAACTACTTTGCTTCAGACGGCCTACTTTTTCTCCATTAGAGCAGAGATTTGCATGAGGTAGATGCAGCGTGAAAACTACGTCTATTGAGTATATTTTGAAACGTTTGCGATTGTAAAAATAATGAAAAAAGTTGACTTTATTGAAAAACTGAATGTTTTCTTCCATATAAAAAAATGGGTTTTTTAGCATTTTTCAAGTAGTTTTTGGAATTATTTATCTCAGAAAAATGGCTGAAATTTTTTTTTAATATATGCAGTTTTGTAGATCTTTACGAGCTCTATCGAATCATGTCAAAATATTCAAGAAAAAGTTTTTACTTCATTTCTGAATTACTAGCGCCTTAATTTTCTATGCTCAAAAGTATAAAACTTCTCAAAATTTATTAAGTTCGACATTAAAAAGTTGTGACAACTCTTACTATTTAGTACCAAGGAATCACGTTTTCGACGAGCTTTCATTTGGAATAAAATTCTTTATTTACACTATTTGAAATCATAGCGCTACCTCCCTAGTAAATGATTATAAAATACGCGAACACCTACGAACACATAGTAGGAAAGGAAACTTCCTTTTAATTATACCCGTAGGTGGAACTCGTCGAGTTATGTTTTTTTGGACGCAGGACCCATGCTTTCTGACAAATAAATAGCCGTCGACCTTCTCCTGGACGAAAGAGTATGCCCTGCAAAGTTTGGTTGCATTTGCTCGTACGGTGTCAGAATGCATAAAGAACAGACAAACAAACAAACAAACATTCTTCTTTATATATTAGATGCAGCAACTTCGTACACCGATTAAGTTTAGTACTTCTTCAACTAAAAGCAACAAAGTGATTCGAATCGCATGCCAAGAAGAATCAATCATGTTTTGTCACAATCGATTCTGTCGATTTGTGTCGATAGAAATCGAAAAAAAATGGAAGTCTGAAGGCGACATCTGTTACCATGACGTTTTCAAATGAAGGATCATCAACCACAACCTATCTGTATCATTTTGTTCGAAAAAAGCCGAGTTCTATTCGCAAAAACCACAAAACAATCGCAAGCTATCCTTCTCCGAACTGCACCCTGTTCACATGACGTTCTTTATCAAGTAGTCAATCACTCGTCTTGCAGATTCAGCCTCTACTCAAAATAAAATTGTTTCTACCTTCGGCGTTCATGTGTGCAACCCCTGGTACAAAGAAGTACCCAGTCGAATTTAGGTTGTCTTTTCCCGTTGTCAAACGCATGTACATTTTTCCGTGAAATGATTAGGATCGATTCGATCTGAAGAGACCAACCAATCGCTTGAGGTGTCGCTCTCGAGTACTCAAAATTCCCCTACAAACAGCCCGGATCTCATAAGTGAATTAGGTGTATAATGCGAACATCTTTCGACACTGAAACCCTAGCCGTTCTTGTTTATTCACTTGCTCGATCAAATGACATTATTATCGATATCCATTGGGCTTGACCTCGTTTGCGGCTTCATATTTGGACCAACAGCCTTGGACGACTAGAGCAAAAAGTAGAATACTTTCAGAGGTATTCGACGACGATATGAGATATTGATTCGAACAAAAAATTATTTCTTGTATTCTGTCGTAGTCAGGTGTAACGCTGACCTAGAAATGATCATCATGAGCCGCAACGATTGGAAAATATCAAATTTGACTCGGCGAGGACTTTCAATGGCAGGATTTTAACCGGCAAGTTTCACTGGAAATGTCAGCGCGATCTGCTCTTTAACCCGATATAAAACACCACCGATTTTGTCGTAAAACATTTGCCGCCTTATACGTCCTCGTCCTTTCCCGTCTATCTATTCAAAGAACGATAGAAAAGGTCAAAGAGATCGACAAAACTATGTCGTCAGCATGGTTGAGATTGTTCGAAAAAGCTTACGGCTATGAGAAACTATATTCAGTTGCTTTTTCTCGTCGCATTTCGCATCCTGTGTCGAAGAGAACGAGTTCGACTTTTAAAGCTCCCTAACTATGACGGCTCTCGAGATCGCTATTTTCATTTCGTTTCAACATATTTGATAAAAGATTCGATCCTTGCTAGAGCCTGCCCTGACGTAGAAAACATCATTAGCGAAAGGGTCTGTGTTTCTTTGAAAATGATTCACCAAATTACCAAAGGGTACAAAAATCGAGAATATAAGAAATATAGCACTGCTATGAAAATCATTTTGAACAAAACACTTTTATTCGTTAGCGAGCTTTCGATGTCTTTCTAACATCATCTTCAGGCTGACTAAAATGGAACATTTAACAGAATAATAGGACTAAAGTCACCTTTTTAAACATTGTTTAAAAAGGTGACTTTAGTCCTATTATTCTTATTAAAAATTTTCACCTTACGAAATAATTCTTCAATTATTCATACTATACGAAGGAGGTATGGTTATACAGTATTGGTGTGTTTAAGAGAGAATCCACCAGCCCATACAGAATTCACATTATATGGTCAAATTTCAATTTCGATATGTCCGTTCGATAGCGCATGTTGAGAAACCTCTGTAGTCAAATTTTTAGACGAAACAAATGTTTTTTGACGGAGATATGGCGTTTTGATTAAAACGGGCCTGTTCCCGATTTTTCAACTTTTTCTCAAAAACAAGCCATATTTTCTCTCACCTCGTTTTCAGCCAGTTTTCGATCGATTTTTTTGAATGGCATCTCATTCGAAAGAGCGGGAAAAAGTGAACAAGATGCAGTATTTCCCATGTCTCGATCATGCTATTTAGGCTTCGAAAAGGTCCAAAACCATGCCCAACATAGAAAATGGAACAATGAATTGGTGAAGTATTTGGTAAAAATCCACTACTAGATATCTTTTCACTAGAAATTTTATGGCTTCATCTTGTAGAGAATTGAATTCTCTACAAGATGCACTATAGTTTGTATTTTTTAAGTGTTGGCAAGGTGAC